GTGTGAGCCGTCTGGGGCCGGTGGTGTGGGAAACCCCTCCCCCATCCGTACCTTCTTCCAGAGCAGCAGGGCCGTGCCCACGAGGCTCAGCGCAGTCAGGATGCCCGTGAAGGCGAACAGCAGGCCCTTCTGGGCACTCGGAGGAGGCGTTCGGTACCCAGTGTCTAGGAGGGCAGAGAAGCAGAGGGGTCAGCTACCCAGGAGAGGCCAGGCATGCCCCCAACCCCAGACTCCATGTTCTCCTTCACCCAGGACCCCTTCCCGACGAGGCCTCCACCCTGCTAGACCCCCAAAGCCCTGCCTCAGGGCCCCATCTTACACTTGATTTGCTAAGTCTTCTTTTGTGTTTACCATCTGAGTCTCTCTCTCTCTTTTTAATTCCTTGAATTCCATGACAGACAGACAGAGACAGCCTCCCCCAACCGGGCCCTGCGACCAGATCCACTCCCAGCCTAGCCAGCCCAGCCCATAGGCACTTGTGCCTGCTGTGCTGGGGTCTCTGGAGACAAGCCCGAACCTCCCCATGTGGGTGAGCCTCCCGGAGCTGCACCGTCTACCCAGGGGAGCGCTGCCCTGGGGCTGCTTGCAGGGCCCTGGCTGTCGTTTCTTTCCTTGGGCCCCTCTCTTCCCTGTGTGAAACGGTGAGAACCTGGACAGGTGCGCGGGCTGACGGAGGTGTTTCAGCCGGGGCTGACAGGCAGCCACAGCGGGAGCAGGTGGGGGCCCAGCCCTGCCCCAGCCTGTGGACCACATTCCATCCTCTCACCCTGCCCGCTCTGCCTCCACCCACCATGCCTCCTCTCCGTGTCGTGCCTCCTCGCTCTGGCTGGCAGGAACCTACGAAGTGCCAGCCATGAGCCCGCCCACAGCCAGACCCAGCCCTGACAGGCTCAACCTCATTCATCTCCGCAGTCTTTGACAGGCAGAGCACTGCCACAAAGGCCAGGCCCCAGGCATACCCGAGCTAGCAAGGTTGGGGTTCAAAGCCCAGTGTGTGGATTCCAAAGCCTCTGGTCCCTTCCAGTGGAATGGCAGAGGAAGGACAGAGGATCACGGCTTTGGTGAAGGACTCCTTTTTTTTTTTTTTTTTTTAAAAGTTTTTTCCTTTAGGGCCAAAAGAGATTTTTCCTATAGGGCCAGAGAGACAGAAAGTGAGAAGTCACACCCCACCCCCGGGGGAGATGGCCACATCTCAATCCCTTCTCCTCCATTCTCCTCTCAGAATTTTGGGCACGTACACACACGCCTGGTGTGAGTTTAAGCCGCTGGGTCCAGGACTCGAGCTATCATCGACTACGTGGGAGTCCAGCAACATAACCATTACGCCATCTGCTGGTCCCAAGGACTCGTTCTTAGCACAGTCCTTTGAGAATGTGATGAACACCCGGACTGTCCCCACATGAAAGTACAGAAGCGAGCACGCACATACACGAGGCCCCCAGCAATACCTACGTACAGAGCGTCACTGCAGAGCCCATTCCCACCGTCCTTACGCTGCAGGGGTGCTGAGGCCAAGGAGCCTGTGACTGGTCTCAGGTCACCTGCCATGGGTGGCTGGAGGCAGGGCCGCACCCCAGGACTCTGCCGTTCCCACACAGCACAGGATGCCTCACCCCCTTGCAGGGCTGGGGCTCCCCCAGGATGCAAACCATTCTCTGCTCAGATCCTGTGCCCCAAATTCTGCTGATTGGAGCCTTGAGGCCCTTGGCTCCGGGAAGCAGCACAGAGGAAGCCTCACCTCTGACCAGGATGAAGATGCCACAGCTTTGCGCCACGTAGTCATGCCAACTGACGTGGCAGTAGTAGGTGCCAGTGGCCGATGCGTCCGGCAGCTTGGGGGTGACCTGGCAGTCCAGTTTGTAGGTCTGGTTCTCTATGCCTGGGCCAGGCTGGCAGGTAATCCGCTCCTCAGGGCTCCTCACCCCGTTAAGATCTACATAAAAGTAGCTGACTGTGAAGTTCTTGAACTTGGGGGTGTACTGGTAAGTGATTTTGCAGCTGAAGCACACGGCTGTGTTGGCCAGGGAGACCACAATGGGGAGGCCATCCTGGGCCACAGACTGACCTCCTGCAGGGGAAGCCAAGGGAGGGGAGACAGGTCACTTGGGGCGGCCCCTACGAGCACCGAGGCTCCCACCACATGTACACGCCCCTTGTGTGGGTGTGTGCCCTACTTCTGCACACTCACTTCCCCGGGTGTGGCGCACTTACACACCCATGTGTGCAGGAACAGCCCAGCAGAAATGCCCCCGCGCTCAGGTATGGCTCGCACTTCCCAGAGCCTCGCTGTGCCCGGGAACCTCTCACTCCTTGTGCACCCACTGTGCTGGAGCAACTCACACTGGCAGCAGCTGCACACAGCTGGGCTTGTTCCTCTCAGGTCCTCAGCGTGCCCCGGGGGGGCTCCTGCTCCCCACTTACTCGCCAAGCACCGGGGCCACGCCAGGCCCACCACACACAACTCCCTCTCCTAATACACCCTGAAACTGAGGCCCACAGAGAGGAAGAGGCTGTGGGCCAGGGAGGTCAAGCCATCAGCTCCCTGTCCATCAGCAGGTATGGAGCGGAGCTGCCACCTCACCGGGGGCTGGGGACACCAGAACCTGAGCTCCCAACCCCAGTTCCCCAAGGCTGGCAGGCCGAGACGGATAGAAGCACAAGTCCAGGAAGATCAACAGCTGGTGACCGGCGGGAAGTCATGAGGGGAAGGGAAGCAAAGTAAGAAGCTGAGCACTTCCTGGCAGAAGGCGGAGAAGGAGGCAGGTCTGCCCACAGTTCTCCCCGTGCCAAGGGAGATGCACGCCGGACAGCCAGAGAGACAAGCCTTCCCGGAACCCGAGCTCGGCCAGGCTGCCTTTCACAGTGTAACACATGGTACCCCGCGGGCCATTTCCCGCTCACACTGAGGGTGATCCCCACGTGGCCACTTCAGCCATGACCATGGCGTTAAATGACCCAAGGCCAGTTCTGCAGGAGCCACCCCCTGCCCCCATCAGAGGCACCTTGGGAAACAGTCGGAAGCTCCCAAGCAGCAGCCTACCTGGCTGGGCCTCCCCACTCCTACAGGCTCCTGAGGTGCTGGTCAGATTCTGGGCCCGGGTCAGCGGCCACAGCTACATCTCTGCGCACGAGGCCCTCAGCTTCAGGCTCGCCTCCCCACCTGCCTCCCGGGCAGCAGAAGGGCCCACAGTCCTACCCTGGGGTGGGCAGAGGGCAGCCTGCTCCTCCTCTCAGGCCAGCTGCTGGTCAGGAGAAGATAGCACAGCAGAGCACTCAGAGGGGGCCACCAGGGGTACTGTGTTGGGGAACGAGCAGTGGTGTGGGCCGTGGGCCGTGGGCCGTGGGCTGTGGGCCTTCTGCCGTGCTGCAGGGCTGGGGCGAGGCCAGGCTGGGCTCGGGTCTCTTCAGCTCAGCCCTGGGCTGGAGCCCTGGAGCAGAGATCCTGAGAGGAGACCAGGCCTTCTGGAAGACATGGAGATGGGGACTGAGGTGGCCCTCCATGCTATTTCGAGCTTCCCTGTTGAGGCACTGAAGAGCCAGCCTCTCTCAAAGAACTCAAGGACTCGACTGGAGTCTGACTGCCACAGTGGGCAGAGCTTGTCCTAAATATGATGACGCTCGCTGTGGAATGGTCCTGAGCTGGCACCCGGGCCCTCCAGGCCAAAGAGCCCCCCAACCCAGGGTCCTCCTCTGGTGGATGGGGGGATTCCACACTCCGCTTTACATCTCTGGACTCTACTGCAGGATGGGTGTTTAATGACATGTATTAGTATTTTGTCATAAAATAGGGAGCATTGGTTCAAGGCAGAGGTTTGTCCAAGATGTGATGGGTGGAGGGGGTTGGGGGGAGGCTGTGCATGATCCCCAGGGTCCAGGGGAGGGGAGAGGGGAGGGCAAGAGCAATGGGGTAGGATGAGCTGGAAAGGCCTCGGAGCAGCAGGAGTGCTGCTCGCCTGCCCAGCAAAGGGCTGCTTCCTGCTGGGCACCCAACTCCAGGGCCCCTCTGCCTGAGGCTCCGCCTCCTCACCTGGCCCACTCCCACTTGGTCCCCCAGACTTGGCTCGGGTTCCACTTGCCATTTGGCTTTCATAGTGACCTCCGAGCAGCCCAGGCACGCGGTGGCCAGCTAGTGTTCCCTTGTAGGGCGGGGCTGGGAGCTGGCCAAACCACCAGGAACGCGGCTGCAGCGCCAGGGCCTGCTCCGGGCCTCCCGCTCCTCCTCTCAATGAACCTAAGAGGCCTGGACTGGGGAGGATGGGCATGCTGTCAGCACCAAGAAGCCCCTTCCTGTTTGTCCTGGCAGGAAGTCATTCATCCCATTGTCTTTAAAAATTCTCCCCTTTGGAAGTATCTCTAGAAAATGATGGAATCTGCTAGTGTAATTAAGCCAATCTTTACAATTCTGGGGAAATCTATATAAATAGATGTCTATTGTTCCATATTCTTCTGGGATTCGTTATTTTAAGGTCAGAGGGTTCGGATCATGAAAATGCATGGCCCTGGCTCAGGTCTGCCACAGCAAGGAGGATACAGGCCTCTGATGAAACTGCTTTTTCACAAGCTGAGGCAGCCTCTGCCCAGCTCAGTCAACCCCGACAGCCACCCTGGAGACAGAGGCCAGAGCTGGCCGGGTCAGGAGGCCTGCAGCTGCCGCTGGGCACTGGGCTGTGGCCTGGCAGTGTCGCTAATGACCTCCTTGTGTCTTCCTTTGGCTGGGGCGTCATCTCACCGAGCCAGGACCTGAGCTGTTGCCTGGTCCCCTCCCTTCTCCTGGACCCATGCCTCCCAGAGGCCTCTTGGGGTGCCAGCCGTGGGGGTCCAGACTCACCCCAGCACGACTCAGCACTGCAGACAGGGTCACAGTCATTTCCAAGTCCACAAGTTCTTTTCAGCTACCATTTGTTTCTGCTTCCCACAAACATTTAAGGGGTCCCAGTATGGCCACGGGTCTTGTCCTGGGCCTGGGGGTGCTACCTGCTCTGGTAACACCCCTGGTCTGGCAGGGAAAGCTGAGCCGGAGCCTGGGGCAAGAGAGCTGCTGGGGGAACCGTTGAGTCTGTGCCGGTGGGTTGGGTAGGGTATGTGGGTACCCTGGGGGTCCAGAAGGCACTCATGACCCGGAAGCAGGAGCATGCTGACAGACAGGAAAGAAAGTATACGGAAAATGTACCCTGGCTGGGTGTGACACGGGCCCTATGGACATCAAACGCCATGACATTCCCACGGGGTGCCAACTGGAACCCCATCTGCAGATGGAAAGACAGAGGGTCTAAGAGGCCCAAAGCCACGGAGTTCCTGAGGGGTGGAATTGACTTGAACCAGCTTAGTCTCGGGCCAAGAAAGAGCCAGCACCAGCCGGAGGTGTCCGTCACAGCTAGAGCTGAGCACAGCAGGGCCAGGACTGGGTTCACGGCGACACCAAGCACGGCAGCCAGCAGGTGCTCAGGGCAGGCTGGGCAGACCCTGGTGGGACTCGGAAGTTGTCAGTCACACTGCCAATAGTGGCTACTTGGCTCCCCAACCAGGTGGCTGCCACGGGAGGCGGGGGCGGGGGCGGGGCCTTGGAGAGCGCCAAGGGGCACTCGGCTTGCCCAAGAGGCCTGCTCCTCACCCCAGCCAAGAGGGGCTTCAGCGTGACCCTCACTGAACTCAGGTGTCCCTAGGCGAGGGCACCGTGGCTGCATCTGTCTCAGGCCCAGCAGCTGCTGTGGCTGTGTCATGCTTTGTCCCTTGTTCTGACAAAGGTAGCGTATCCCTCGGGACCATGTGGGCGGGGGTGGTGATCGGCCGGGCACTCTCTTGGGCTCTGCTCATCCCTGCTGCCTAGAGGGCAAATGGCCCTGGGGGAGGACCAGGGTGGACCGTGGGTGCCCCAGGGGCACAGCCTACCCGAGAGGTGCATGGAGGTGCCCCAAGGGAGCTTGCTCCAAACTCACCAGCACCCAGAGGGCAGGGCCAGCCTGACAGTCGGGCTCTTCTGCCCTGTGCTGCCCTCCCTGCCCTGCCGCCAAGCCGACCTTGGGCAGAGGAGGGCCTGCCCCACGCTCACACAGGCCCAGCAGCATCCGGAACGATGGCCACATCGGGTAAGTTCAGGGCTGGGCTGTGACCCAGGGCGGCAGACATGGCCGAGGACGCATCTGTGACTACGTGAGCACAGGGCCAGAGCTCCGAGCTCTGCTGCAGGGCACTCCCCAGCTCTGAGGGGAGGCGTCTAAAGGGCCCCAGGAGAAACTCCAAGTTGGTTTTCTAGTCATTCTCCAGGTCCTGTGGCTTCTTGGGCAGGCCAGGCTGGGACAGGCTCTAGGTCACAAGGCAGAAAGTGCAAGGAAGAGGGCAACAGAGGGTGTAGCAGTTACATCGCTGGACTCTCACAGGGTGACCGCAGTTCGAATCTCGGCCCTGATGGCGTCAAAACCGTACCAGACACATGTGTGCATGCCCAAAATCCCAGGAGAACGGAGGAAGAGGGATTGTGGTGTGGCCATCCCCTCAGGAGATAAATTCTCACTTTCCCTCTCACTGTCTCTCTGTCTTGCAAGCGCATGCACCCTAAGGCAAAAGCCTCTCAAGCAAAAGAAAGAAAGAAAGAAACTGTGAGGAGCTTCCAGAGTTTTCTGCCAAGGGAAGGGATTTGAGCTCTCCCACTGGGAGCCATTGGGAGGGTTTGCCCGTGGAGCAGGGCCTATAGGTGGCTTTGAGAAGCTCTTAGGCACAGCAAGGTCAGAGTTGGGGCATGGGGTGGAGGGGGTGGAGGGTGAGGACAGCGAGCGTCACACCTACATGTGTGACAGAGAGGGAGCTGCAGGAGTGGAGTGACCTAGCGGAGGTCGGGGTCAGGGCAGGTTTTTAGTTTTTGGTGTTCACCGGAGAGACACAGAGAGAAATAAAGTGAGAAATCACTCCCCAGGGGGGATAGCTACACCACAATCCCTTCTTCATTCTCCTCTCGGGATCTTGGGCTTGCACACATACATGCCCGATGTGAGTTTTAAGCTGCTGGGTCCAGGACTCGAACTATAGTCAGCCCTGTGAGAGTCCAGCGATATAACCATGACACCATATGCT